CGGATCGTAACAGAGGCGACAGAAGAAGAAAAAAAGACACGGCTGGGATGAAAATGAATCCCCCCCCCATCAGGGTGAAATTACGGGGAGGGGGTTCCACCAAAATCCGTCACTGGAGCAGATCGAAAATAGTGTCCGTAACATTGATTGCGTCAAATGTTTGCAGTTTTCTTTCTTCGGCCGCATCGTCTGCTGAGCTAACGTCGCTCCTCTGCGCGCTCCGGCTGATGCCGTTCACGCGGAGCTGTCAAAACGACGCACACCTGAAGCTTGCTCGCCCCTTTAGCGCATCTCCCAGCCTTTTTTTTTTTTTGCGACTCACGCACGGGCGCGCCGTACCGCCGCGCAACCTCGCGCTACGTCACGCACCCGCCAGCCGGCCGGCCGGGCCCGCGTGAGGCCCGCCCGCGAGAGAGCGACAACAAATGCGCCTCGGAAGACGTTTGTTTGCACGCTCCATTCGGACGATCGATCCACTGATCCGAGCGGCACTTGATGGCGCCTCGTGCCGTCGGAGCGTTCGCCGCGCGCATTACGGTCACATCCGCAGCGGAGGAGAGACGAGCACGTACCTTGAAACTCTTCCTCGTCTTCGTCGTCGTCTTCTTGTTCTTCTCCGTTCTCCGAGTCGATCTGCATGGCCTCGTCGAGGAAGTTGACGGCCTTGCCGCAGCCGGCGGCCCTCGGCGGCGACGGCGGCTCCCCCCCTCCATCGTCGTCCCCATCCCGGCCCAAGAGCGCCCGGCGGCGGTTGCTGCTGCTGCTGCTGCTGCGGCGGCGGCTCTCGCGGTCCTTGAGGCGGGTGAAGTACTGCAGGGCGAAGTCGAGAAGGTCCCCCGGCTGGTTCCTCAGCACTTCCACGGTGAAGCTCTGCAACAGCTCCGTCAGGCCCGCGGGGATTTCTATACTCATTCCTGTTGGGCGTCGAGAAGGGCTCGAGGGACAACGGCGGCGGCGGCGGCGGCGATGGCGGCGACGACGACGACGACGACGACGACGACGACCGCAGCAGCAGCAGCAGCAAGACTTGAGAGGGCTGTCAGAGATGCGCTTTTTGCTCGAGAAAACGCCTCCTGGGCCCGAGCGGCATCATCACCATCCCTCGCCTTCTCCTTCCTCTGACGACGACGGCCGTACAGGAAACCCACGCATGTGACCCGCGTTTCCATGGCAACGCCCCATCCAATGACCGCGGACGAGCCGCGGAGCTCCTCTTCCTTCTGGCGCAAACCAAATACCGGACACGGAAAGAGACAAAGTCAACATTTGGGACCAAACGGTGCGTCGCCGAAACGAACGAATGTGCACGTCGTACGCTGCTTTCCATCAAGAACACAAAGGCTCGCCTCACATTTACCAAAAGATATCTTGATGATGCTCGAGACTTTTGGACTGAGGAGTCCAAAATGGAACGTTTTGCAAGCTGCGCGGCCCGTTACGTATGCCTGGGGGTAAAAACGGCACCGCGTTTGATCGATCCAAAGAAGAGGATGCCAACCGTGAAGCGGGCTCCAATATGGCGGAGTTGACGAGCGGGCCACGATTCCTCCACAAACGCTTGATTTCAGGTCGTTGCAAAAGCCGTTACTCGGTTCAGGGGGTAAATACTTTCTCACATACGCGCAGGTAGGTTGGGATTTTTCTTTTATATGCCTCAATAAATTGAATGCTCACTCACAGACTGCGTTTTGTATTTCCGCGGGTTGTCTCTGGGTGGGAGTAAATTTGAACAACCAAAACCTGGGTGTGATCCATATGCAAAGAACACAAATCAGCACATGCGCATACACAATTGTCCAAAGGAAGCCCGACGGTTTTGTGTTTCCAGAGTACAGTACCTTCTACCTTCCTGCACTTCCACTCGCTGTGTGCATGGACACTTTGGGCGGAATCGTCGGACCTCCAAAATCACTTTTCAGGAGATGGCACGTTTGTTCAACCAACATTTGCTCATCAAAGAGAGGAAGCCATTTTCAACAACTCGGAGTGGATCATCATTTGTGAACCTAACACGTGTGGCCTGACCAACAATAGAATCTGTGTGTGCACGTTTCAAAGTAAAAGACAAGCATCAACCTTCCTTTTCCCAGGAAACATTTATTCCATCAAGAGACAGGATCTTTCCATCAACGCGTCAGTTAAATATTAACAAATTTACAGGTGTGAGGAATGTAAAAAAACAGAAAAAAAAAAACCCCAAGCGCTCCTTCAAACAAAAACAACCCCGACCGACCCAGGACAACGAGCCACGGGAGGAGGGGAGGGGGCGCTGCTCTCAGTTGCCCGGCTTTCTTGTTCCGAGTGCTCTCCAGGTGGCCTCACAGTTCTATTTTGTCTGTCATGACCTACCAGGAAATGACCAAGGAGCGTCAAACGCAAGACTTGTTGCTGAAATGCAGCGCGCACTGCACTCTCTCTTACCACTTTGTCGTCTTCGCCATCGTCCAGGACCTCGTCGTCGTCATCCTCGTCGCCGGCGTCCTCGTTATCGTCCTCGGCCGGCTCCTCCTCTTCGGCCGGCTCCTCCTCGGGCTCCTCCTCCACCTCGAGTGAGCACAAGCACGTGTCGGCGCGCGTCGCGCTCAAAGTTGGAGTCGATGCGCGGCTACCTGCTCCTCCAGCGGGATGTTCATGCTGAGCCTCAGCATGCGTTCTATCCTGTCGCCGTACGCCTTGGTGTCGGCCAGCTGGTAGCCCGAGCGCAGGGTGGCCGTCTCGAAGAGGACGGCGGCCAGGTCCGACGCCGTCTGGTCCTCGGCGTCGTCCTAAAGCCGCAGAAACGCACACAACAATTTCACTTGCAACATTACAACACGACACTCGTGCGCTTTCTCAGGTTCATTTTGCAATCTGAGGCAGGAACCTTATTGAAAAAAAAAAAAACCAAACCAAAATGTAGTTGTGTATCTATACTGAGGACACTTTGTGTAAATGGCATTCTCAGGTGGATTTCTTCATCGGTGCACTTACGTTGACCCGCTTGAGCATCTGCTTGATGAGGGGATGCTTGGGGTTGATTTCTAACGTCTTCTTCTGACTGGCGTAGTAACTGCAAGGTCGGGCGGGGGGGAACGTTAGCAGAGGCTAACTGGCCGGCCGGCTTCCATTTGACCTTTCGGGGTGGCCAACTAACTCACTTGGTGGAAATGTCTTTGCCCGTCTGGTAAGCCTGCGCCTTCATGATCCGCTCCATGTTGCCCGACCAGCCGTACTGGCTGGCCACCAGCGCGCAGGGGGAGTTGGTCAGCCGCTGAGACAGGACCGCCTTCTCGATCTGCGCACCAATTCAAACACGTGAAATTGACCCGACGCCAGCATTCGCCCTCCTCCGTCTTTCTTTTCATGCGCCGTGTTAAATGCGTTAAGGTGAAAGGGGGGTGTCAGTCTTTTGGAGAAAAAAAAAACTATCCAGTCTATATACATAGATGCCATTACGACTATCCCAAAATGCTTTGATACTGTTGATCTTTTCTATTTGAAGATACAAAATAAATGATGAAAAGAATCGAAGGATTTCTCTTTAAAATCGAATTCTGTTTGTTGACGAGCGCCTGTATTTTGGAGGCAAAAATCATTTCCTCCACTTTGTACTGATTGATGAAGACGTCACCAAAATGATCCTCTTACTACAGTTTGGTCTTTTTTTGGTTCTGAATGTGAAGATGGGATTTGGCCGGATCGACTGAGAGGGGCCTGGGGGCCACCCCCGCAAAAAAAAAAAAAAAAACAAAACTATTTTGAGTCGGCACCTTTAACAGAAAGCTGACGAAATGAACGTGACACTCCAAACAAGATCGATGACTTGACCGACTTTTGACGCCATCTTTAAGTGAGTCTCTTGTCCTTCCATTCTTCTGTAGTTTGGACACCACCGATTTCACGTAGTTGATCGGTTCGGCAACGAGAATGATGCGAACGTTCACAAATAACCGAACCACGGGGGTGACGCAATTTTGCGCGGCGGCCGCGCCTCACGATTGCAGATTGGCGCCATCAGCTCTTCTCCCGGTCACGTTCATTTGAAGCCGTCAAGCGCTATTTTCCATGGGTCCGAACGCGCCGTGCCCATCGCAGGGCAGCCTTTGGTGCCATCTCTAGTCCAGGGTACAGTCCCGTTTGATCAAAGGGAGGTCCGAGACGTCAAAAACCTGACCTTGTCCTTGAGCGCCTTGTCCTTGAGCCAGGCGGTGAGCGGCTCGTACTCCTTCTCCTGCGCCTCGCGCTTCTCTTTGGCCTTGTCGCTCTCGTCAAACTTGACGCCCTCCTTGGCCACGTTCTGGAAGCGCTTGCCGTCAAACTCGGGCAGCGCCTGGATGCAGTACTCGTCCACGGGCTCCGTCAGGTAGATCACCTCGTAGCCCTTTTTCAGCAGCCTCTCCACGAAGGGCGACGCCTCCGCCTGGAACGCAAGGGTCGTGAGGACGGCACACCCCAGCCGCGTATTGCGCCGGAGAGGGACGGCGGACACAATAAAATGGGGAGGGCTCCGTTTGCGCGCGGGCGTACCTCCTTCCTGTTGGTGCCGGCCATAAAGTAGATCTTGTCCTGCTTCTCCTTCATGCGCTCGACGTACTGCTCCAGGCTGGCCAGCGCCGTGTCGCTGTTGGACGTTTGGAAGCGCAGCAGCTTGGCCAGGCGGGTGCGGTTGGAGTGGTCCTCGATGACGCCCAGCTTGATGTTGGTGCCAAACTCCTTCCAGAACTTGTCGTCGTAGTGCTCCTCGGCGATCTTCTTGATCATGTCCAGCGTTTTGCGCACCAGCTTTTTGCGGATCACCTGAGCGCAAGGGAGAAAACCCCAAATGAGCTCCGTGTCTTTCGAAATTTTACTTACAATTTCTCTCCAATATTCACCGCTTCTTTTTTTTAACATTGTCAAAAAAAATATATTGGTGTAAAGCAACGGGGCCGCGGAAGGAGAAATGTCAGGATTTGCAATGGATTCACCTTGAGCAGTTTGTGCTGCTGCAGAGTCTCTCGGGACACGTTCAGGGGAAGGTCATCAGAGTCAACCTGATTAAAAAGAAAAACAAGGGGAATTAAAAAAAAGAATTTTTTTTCAAGCCTTCCGGCATAAAAGGCGAAATGAGCACTCACCACTCCCTTGACAAAGTTGAGATATTTGGGCATCATGTCGTTGAAGTCGTCCGTGATGAAAACCCGCCGGACGAAAAGCTGCGACGACACAACGCGCATCAGCGGTCGGAAGAGACTTTGCGAATCTACAATCATGGTTTGATGAAACCAATGGGCTGTAAATAGCACAAAAAGCTCATCCATGTTTTGGGGAATCCAACCCAAAAAAGAAAGGGAACATTGTACCAAAAAAAAAAAAAAATCATATTGATAAGGAAGGAGTTTGTCAAACTAAATTCTTTGGAGCTAAGACAATAATTGAGCATAGTGACTACATCAAAGGTAACGCTTGTCCTTTGTGCCCTGTTGAGTGGCGCTATTGACCCGCAGCACTGCGACAAACGCAATAGCGGTTTTGCACAGGAGGGCGACCCGCATTGCCAACGAGACGGATGACGCGCTCGAAAATCAAACGGTGTGAAAATGCTGCAAATAGCGCTTCAAGCAAAAACAATCTCATCCTCACGTCAGACAAAAGCTCTTTTGAATCCGGGAGTCTCCATGTGATTTAAGGGGGGCTTTTTTGGGCGCTATGGTTGAGTTTACCACACGAAAAGCTGTTGACAAGGAAAGAAAAGGAGCCGCGTTTCTGTTGGAGTGAAATAGTGGAGCGGCAAGGTCACCTTGAGCTTTTGACGTTTGGAAAGAATGATTTGTTGATTTTTCACCTTTGCACACAAGGTCACATGGATAGTATTTGGGGGGGGGAAAAAAAAAAAAAAAAAAAAAAAAAAAACAGAACCAGGAGGGGGGCAACTACCTTTTAACAGCACTGCATTATCTTTGTAAAAGGGGAAAAACACCAACAAGAAAATTGGCCAGGCTTAAATAAGCTTCAGCTTGTGCCATGACTTGCCCTCTTTTCGTTGCGCTGCGACCATCGTGCAACGCGCTGGACGAAGACGGAGGCGGTCGCAGCTTTTCCGTTTTGTCCCGCTTCACGAATGACTTTTTGTTCAGCGTATTTGAGGCCCGAAACCTTTTGGTCTGCTCTCTCTCACCTTGATGTAGTCATTCTTCTTGGAGCCGTACTCGTCAAAGAGGCCGCGGGGGGCGGCGGTGGGCACGAAGAGGATGGACTTGAAGGTGACCTCGCCCTCGGCCGTGAAGTGGATGTGCGCCAGGGGGTTCTCGCTGTCCTGTTGGGAGCCGCGCTTGTTAGGTACGCTGGCGCATTCTCGTGCAGACAATCCAGTCGGGATTGGAAACGCACGGGAGAACGCGAGATGGATTTCCAGCCGTGGCGCGGGCTCAACGGGTTACGCCGCGCGGCTATTTTTGCCGGCGTCCGTCTCACCTTGGAGAAGGTCTTGTAAAAAGCGTTGTACTCGTCGTCCTCCACCTCCTTGGCTGGTCTCTGCCAGATGGGCTTGATGTCGTTCATCAGCTCCCAGTCCCACACCGTCTTCTCGACCTGGTGATCAGAAAACAAGCCAAGGACGAGTTATTTCTCCCCGGCAAAAAAAAAAAAAAGAAAGATCGGCCTCTGCCGGTCGTGTCCAACGTGGCACCTTTTTGGTCTTGGGCTTGTCTTTGTCCTCTTCTTCCTCCTCTTCCACCTCAGCCTCATCTTCAGAGGCTTCTTTCTCGGGTTCCTCCGTCGCGTCGGCATCCTCGTCGATGGGCTCCTCCACCGTCTCGGTCTGACGGGTACAAAGACACGCGGCGGGCAAAACACAACAGTCTCAGCTGGGTCTGGCTGCTTGCCGTGAAGCCCCCCCGCAAAGAGGCTCCAAAATGCGAGCGGGTACCTTGCTGGCCCAAACGTAAATGGGGAAGTTGATGAACTGCGAGTATTTCCTGACGAGATTCTTGATGGTCTCCAGCTCCAGGTAGTCCGAGGCCTCCTCCTTCATCACCAAGCTGCCAAAGGGACTCGAGGTGAGCTAAGGGGCGCGGGCGCCGCCGGACACATTTGAACCTACGTGATGGTGGTCCCGCGGCCCAGCGTGTCCCCGCGGGGGTCCTCGATGACCGAGAACTGGTTGGAGTCCGACTCCCAGATGTGCTGCGTGCCGTTGTTGTGCTTGGAGGTGACGATCACCTTGTCGGCCACCAGGAAGGCCGAGTAGAAGCCCACGCCGAACTGGCCGATCAGCTCCGAGGTGGACTGGTCCTCGGACTGCATCTCCGTCATTTTGTTGAGGAACTCGCTGGTGCCCGACTTGGCGATGGTGCCCAGGTTCTTCACCAGCTCTTCTTTGGTCATGCCGATCCCCGTGTCGGTGATGTGGAGCACGTTCTTGTCTTTGTCCGACTGCGGGAGGAGGGGACGCGTTTAGGAGGTTTGCGCCCGCTGGCGGATCGCGGCCGCGGCACCCACGCGCACGCACTTTGATTTTGATGGTCAGCTCTTCGTTGGAGGCCAGCGCGTCGTCGTCGGTGAGCGACAACAAGCGGATCTTATCCAGGGCGTCGGAGGCGTTGGAGATCAGCTCCCTGAGGAAGATCTGAGGGCAAAATTCCCCCCAGCCCGTCGTGAGCCACAAAGCTCAAGCCCGGACGGCGCGCGCCCTCCTCAAGGCGGCCCCCGCTCACCTCCTTGTTCTTGTACAGGGAGTTGATGATGAGCTTCATCATGCGGTTGACCTCTGCCTGAAAGGCGTGCTTCTCAGACTTTTCTCGGAGTTCCTTGACCTGGGCCGCGTTCAAGCCGTCCAGCTGGATGGCTTCCTCCTCCCTGCGCGAGAAAACAAAACCGTCCCAGGTGAGTTGTCGCACACCGGCGGGCATCGGCAAAAGGGCTGCGCCCTCACAGTCCCTCCGGCGCAGTCATCGAAAAGTGTGGTCATGGGAACCTCCTTCAAATTTTGCTGCGGCCCTCTGTTGTATCCTACCAACCCAATTCCCGTGAGCTTGGGACATTATGTTGAAGGTGAACCTAGATGATAGTCTTCCGCTTTTATTGATTTAGGTTTAAAAACGCCCCCATCTTCATCGCAATTGGTTTTGTGTGATGCCACCCAAGCTAAAAGCTGTCAACTTGTCAGCAGCGTTATGGTGGATTCCGGGGGCAGGCGAATCTCCTTGCGGGGTCGACAACACGAAAGGCAGGGAGGCAAACTTCAAAAGATGACACCGAGAAATGTCCTGCTCATTCTTGGCAGTGGTGCGAAAAGGCCGCTTGTTTATATTCATATTTTAACCAATGACAGCATTTACTTGAGCGAGTCCAAACCATAATACACTGGCTCATATTAAAGTAGTGTTAGCGAAGCAGTGATACACACAAGTTAAAAAGATTTAATCACTAAATTGTCTCCGAGGGCCTCACAAGCACACAGTTTCCCCATCTTAATGACATGCCCCAATTAAAGTTCCCCGAGAGCATCCTCACACTCACACACCTGAGCAGATTTTCCAATTCATTCATTTATTTGGATTATGTTGTAAAAGGATGTACTCCGGAATTATAGCCGGGAGTATAATTAACGTGTAAACCAGTCTTTTGCAATTTTGGGGCCAAAGCACATATTTTACATGAAAAAAAAAATGCTACACTGCTTGTCACCGCTGCCCTCTTGTAGCAGGCCTTCGCTCTGCCCTCAGTCGGGTTGCCTTTCGCAAGCCATAGCTGGCACAGATGAACAAAGACATCATTTGTCATAACCAGGAAATTTGCAGAAAGTTAAAGTTGGCCAAAGCGTCTACCCCGGTATGACTATCGAGTTAGACACGTTGCTAAGGTTGGAGGGGTGCTGTCCATACTCGCACTGAGGTTCAGTTCCAAACAAGATGTTTCCTAACCTCTGAACCACCTCGTCATCGGTTTTTGAGCCATCCCTGCTTTTGCCCAGGTCCTCTTCCACGGTGCCGTCCACGTCCAGTTCATCCTCAGCCCTCACGGCGCCTAAAATTGAGGATGAAGAGACGTCACATGTTCGAGTCCCGCCGAGTGGATACAGACAACGTTAGTTTCACGGTGAGCATGCACAGGATTAGAATTGCAGCAACAAGATTTGAGCACGTAGGTGGAAAAAAACGACGACCCTCACTCAAGAGTAACACAGGAGTAAGAAAGGATCTGCCATTTCAAGCAAAAACAAACCAAAAAAAATAAAAACGTCGGCTGCAGATAACGGCAGTAACACGTTAGAAACTTCGGGAAAGCCAGGTGAATACATTCAAAGGCAACTTGGATGTGACGCCGCTATGTACAATGACTGACCGATGCTAATACGGGGCATTTGGACGAGAATTCAAACAAGGCGTGAATGAATGTCGAGCAGTGATCCAAGTAACAACGGCAAGCAAATCTAGCTTAGCGGCTAAGGCTAGCAAGTTCCCGGTCGGCGACAAACAGTATGGCTGTGTAGTTTACTCACCGAAGGCTAGCAGCCCGAGTAGAAGTCCTAAAAGGCACGCTCGCTTCATTTTGGGATTAGAGCTTGATTGTGAAGGATGCACCTCGGCCAAAAGGTGACGAGAACGCACGCCGTACCGCCGCTCCACGAGAAACTGACAATGGGCCGCCCTCGCGAACACGGTACACTTAAATGGCTCGCGCCGGACCAATGGCGGCGCACCACGCACGACCGTCGACCAATCACAGCGGAGACAACGCTGCGACGGGGACGAATCGGCGTTATCAACATAAGTCGATACCGTCGAATCGTGGCTCGTCACCATTGGCCGCCGAAAGAAAATCATCCCCCCACCGATTTACGTGTTCAATTTGATTTTTTTTTTTCATCACGCAGCAAGTGTTTTCATCTTACGTGGGTACAATAATGATAGAAATTAATGTGAAGTTAACCATTTGAAAGCGATTTAATACTTAAAGCCCTTTAATACTACTACCGCTCGTACGTAGTTCAAGGTACCATATTTCATGGGGGAATTACTGATTGACCCATACATACATTCTCGGCATTGGGTTACATCGTGTGTAAAAGTGGCAACAGGACGTGGGTTGACTTCATGTATGCCTCAGTGCAATTTGACTTCAACTATGGGACCCGGCGTTTTATAAATCCTTCCCTGCAGCCTGCACGTCGTCTAGCTCAGTGGCCCCCCAACCTTTTTTTGTGTCACGTACCAGGCGGACCGGCAACCATTTGTTTCATTGCTTTTAACTTCCTTGTTTTAGAGCACCGGCACTGACGACAGAGATAATTCAACATTTTATCTACATTTTTTTGCATTCCTTTCAGTTTTATTCAATAGTATAACAAATGCAGAATAATATAAAATAACACAGTATACAACTAACAAACGGACCAAAAAGGAATTAGAAATGCGCCTTATAATGTAGACATAATCATTTTTAAGTGATGGCCCTACATACGGCGTTTAGTATTACTGCTACTTGCAAATGGGACTGATTAAAAGATGACACGATTGATTGTTGGCGGCTAGTCGTTAACGACTAAATTGCAACCGTTTACCAGGGCACGCGCTGCAAACAAGCTTTCCTCAAGATCACTCGGGTGCTATTCTAATTTGTCACCGCTATGCTCGGACTCGGAAGTAAGTCGCTGATTGGCTGTAGGCTGTCAAACACGGAAGTGACGTTTAGGTGGCGAGTTTCGGCATTTCATCGATATATCGTATTCGTCGATATACGTAAGACAGAACTGCGCTATCAAATGTTTTTCTTATTCTGCACACCTTTATTTATGCTCGTGGCCGGAAGCGAGTCGCCGATTGGCTGTGAGCTCGCCAAGCACGGAAGTGACGTCCGCGCCCTTTCGGGTCTTGACTGTCGTCCCAGTTGGCGCTCGGTGGGGTTGAGCTACCTGCGCCTCCTGCTTGAAAGCACCGACTATGGGGCACTTGTCGGCGCCCCTGTCGTGTCTCCTGTCTCCGGGGATCGCCAGCCTGCTGCGACGTCACGTCTTGAAGGCTTCCCACCATTTCAGCGCGGTGTCCCGCCGCCGCGGCCGCGGGCGGAGTGACTTGCTTTCCCGTTCGCGCGCGTCAGCTCGGACCGACCGCGCTTCGTCTGCGTGCGGCAGCTCGGCGGACAGCTTGTGGTCTGTTTACAACCACACTAAAAGACACACGCAAGGTAGGAGCGTTGAATCAAAGTTGAAGTATTGCTTTGCTTCGAACTTGAGGGACTCTTGTGACCCAAGGACCACTTCAGTAGCCCGTGGGCCTCTTGGAAATATAGCTCAACCGTGAGAAAAAAAAAAAAAAAAACCACACACTTGGTGTCACTTCCATCTGAGCTGTATCTTTCTTGTGTTTGTTGCTATATTCTCTTTTTAATGATGCTTATAACTGGTTTGTAAATTTGCACGACCAAACCATAGCATTCGTGGTGATTGACCTCCCAATAAATTTGTTATTTCAGGAGTGTGTATGAAACTGGTAGTCCTTTGCATTCTCAGGACGAAAGAAGTAGCTGTCAGTTACCAAAAGCGTGCTGCTCCCTGCTTTCGTGCCCTTTTGCGGGATCTTATTCTAAGTGTCAAGGAACTATGTCAACTCAGTTAAGGGGATTTATGAAGACTAAAGTGGTGCTTTGCCATCTCGCGGCATCTTGGGCCAATAATGATGGTGACCAATGTTGAGAGGGTTTTTTTTTTTTTTTAATACAACGTCATTGTCGTATCTGTGCGGTCAGATGCCATGCCGTCCGTCTCCAGCGTCTCCGTGGACCCCGACAGCATCTTTGCCAACAACGAGATGAGCCTGCGGGACACCGAGGTCTACGGCTTTGACTATGACTACACGCTGGCCTTCTACTCCAGTCACCTCCACACCCTCATCTTCGACATAGCACGAGACATCCTCATCAGCAAGCACAGGGTGGGCCCGGGCGTGTGTGTGCGTGTGTGTGTATGTGCGTGTGTCCTCTCGGCAACCCGCTACAGTTGTTTTGCCCTACACCCACCCGCAAGAGGTGAAAATCTGCACTACAGAGAAGCCATCTAAAAAAAAAAAAAAAAAGCACTGCATGTCACTCCTACTCTGGCATTCCTTCACCGGCTCATATCCGAGTTCTTTTGAAGATTCTCCGATTGGTTTTCCGATCTTGAAACGGCCCGGCCTCACCTTCCCCCTGTCGGAGCTCCTCCGCCTCAGGTCTGCACGGGACCAGACGCTATTCGAGGTAGGGAGAACGATGGATGCGGAGGCTCCGAGGGGGTGGAGTCTTTAGCGTCGCCGCTCCCTGTCTTCGGAATGAACGTTGGGCAAGCCCCATCGCTGCCCATCTTTAAAAAAAAACAAACCAACTCGTCTTCAAACTCATTTCCATTCTTTGGATTTTTGACTCAGCACAAGACTTGTTTTTTTTTTTTTTCCTGCCATCTTTGTTCTTCATTTTGTATGCATTCTTTTTGTTCCACGTCCGGCACTTTGTATACAGCGCTGGTTGTTTTCAAGTGCTCCAGAAGTGCAGTTGAGTTGAGAAATGTGATCTTTCTTTCAGTATCCGGAGGGTCTGCGGGCTTATGAGTACATTCCCGATTTTGCCGTGAGGGGCCTTCACTACGATGTCCAGAAAGTAAGCGGTGTGGAAGACTTGATTTCATCTGATCCGAATGCATCCCGGCGGCATGTTTTCCGCCAGTGAACCTCGCCGTTGTCGTGCTAGGCGCTGCTGATGAAGATCGATGCCTTCCACTACATCCAGCTGGGCACCGTCTACAGGTATGAGCCGCACGCAAGGTCGGGACATCGATCAAAGCATTCGACGACTTCTGGCAAATGTACTCAAAGACATGTTGTGCATCATTTTCGAGCTTTTAAAAGTCCATTTTTTTTCATTCATATGAAAGAATGAAACCTATTTTTGACATCAAATCGAGGAGAGTACATAATGCATCGCGACAGTCAGTTGAATATGTGTATATATATATATCTCCAGACAAATGGCATTTTATGATGTAGTGAATGTAACATTTCATAAGAGCGAGATAATGATTCCTAATTTCCACCGGGTTTGTCATTACAGCAGGGCAGATGGCTACTTTTTTTGCATTTCGTGTATTCTTTGAACGTACCAAGTCTTTTTTTTGACCATGAAACTGTCATACAAAGTTATTTTAATGCAATGGACATCACTTCATTTTCTTTGAATATGCACAGACTCACATTTGAAATGGAGGCATTGTTTTGAGTTTGTACTGAGTGCGTCGCAACGGCTCAAGAAAGGGCTTGGCTGCGTCTCGGCTGCTAAGTAAGGAGGCGCCCCGTTTTTGTCCGTCTCCAGGGGTCTTCATCCGGTCCCCGACGAGGAAGTCGTCGCCATGTACGACGGCTGCCACGTCCCTCTTGAGATTATGAGCGATTTCTACGGCAAGGTAAAAGCCGTCCCGTCCGGCGCCGACGCTCGTGCCCGCGTCTGCATTCTGGTCTCTCCCGCAGAGTTCTCACGGCCAGTCCATGAAACAGTTCATGGACATCTTCTCGCTGCCGGAGATGAGCCTCCTGTCGTGCGTCAACGACTTCTTCATGAAGCACAACATCGACTACGAGCCCGTGCACCTGCACAAAGACGTCAAGGTGAAACGGCCGGCGCACTCGGTTGAATTTCGCCGTCTGGCGGGGGCGCCGCGCTAACCTTTGGGCCGGCAGCGCCGGTGCCGCCGTATTTTTTGCCCATCGACCCAGAATTGGTGCAGCCTCAGCCTACTTGCTGACGTGTAGTCGTGTGAATTGGCCGACCCCACGTTTGGCCGATGTCAAAATTGACAGTGACCGAAGATAGATTTGACTCGAGCGACTTTGTTTGCACCAAGAAGCAGCGGCTTTGCCGCCCTCTTGTGGCATTCATAGGCAGTTGCAAACCTTTTCAGCGAGGCCCTGATTCCGTGCGCATTTTTGAGACGAGGTTTGAATATACTCCTCGACCCCCACAATGAAAATCACTCAGTGTGATGTGGCCTCTGCCGTGGGCTGACTCTGTTCCCCGATGGGTTTTGTGCTGCTGCGTCTCGTGAAGGCGCATTCCGAACAGAGCCCTTCATCCACCCGAGTGTCGTTTCGCAACATGCGCGCGATACGCCGAGCAGCCGGCGGCTTCCTAATTTTGGCTGCTGAGACCACCGCGTCTAAGTATAAACGCGCCATCATTCCTTTGGCCGCGTGTGCTGCCGGCTCTAAAAAGAGAGCAGCGCTCATAGCCCGCCACTCTTCGTCCTCTGACGGAGGAGGTGCTGTCATGGCCGGGCCTTCATTCTGCGTGACACTCAATCATCTTTGATGGATTGCTGTCATTAAAAGCTCTCACTCACACACACACACACACACACACACACACACACACACACACCCACACACACACACACACACACACACACACACACACACACACACACACACACACACACACAGCGTTTCAAGAGCAATGCTGCTGACTTTTCAAGGTCGCCATTTTGACGCTTTGTCATTCCAAATCACAGGGCAGCCTGCCTACCTCAAGATACTTTTTAAGAACTCCTGCAAAAATGGAATGAATATGAAATGAAGTCTGGCGCGTTCTTTTCATTCACTAAAGCTGCACATGTCCTGATTTTTCAGCCCTTAAAAGCAAATTTGAACTCTGAGTTCAAAATTGAAACCAACCTATGTTCTGCTACCAATTACATTTAAAAAAATGGAAGAAGGTAGAACGGTCTTTAAAAAAAAAAGTGATGAAGTGAGCCCGCGCCTCGTCCGCCATCTCTTTGTGCGGCCCTGGAGTATGTTTGCCCAGACACCCACGACCATCGGTAAAGGCCCACGGCAACCATTATTCCGGCCAAAGAGCATATTGTAGCGCACGTGAAGGCTTTCGCCCCTGTGAGCGATACAGTGAGCACAAAGCGAACGTGCTTGGATCCTTGCCGAGATGGAAAGATGACGTTCGTCATCAGAATCAACGTCGGCGTAATATCGGCCAAAGGCTCAATCAGGAAAAGGCACGGCTTATTTATCAGGAAAAGGCACGGCTTATTTCCCCAACTTGGACAGAGCAGAAAAACAAGGACGCCGCCCGTGCCAATCTTCATCATCTGGGGGCGCAGGGGGAAGACGCCGGGAGGATAATCCGAGAGGGTGGACGAAAGCCGATTGTTCTGGAAGCAGCTGCCTCGTCGGACCTCTCAGCAGTAATGACAAGTACAGCACCCCCCCCCC